CCCAACCGGATAGCTGTAGCCATTAAACCAAAATACTACTACATCTACATCTCTGACTACTAATAACTGCTACTAACCAAAGCTTTGTTCGGGTTCTTGTTATTACCGATTCTGAACCGTCCTAGAACTCTACAGCGCATTTGTAAATGAAATAACATCTTCATATTTCCTTCTGCGCATGCGTATTACAGTTCTAGGGCGGTTCGGAATCAGTGAAAAGAAAAATCGGAAGTAAGCTCAACAATTTTTTTTGTGTAGTCTGTTTTTATTTAAATGTTTTGTTCATTATTCATGTTGGGGATTTATTTTTAAATTAATGTTAATCGTTAGGCAACCAGTAAACTCATAAAATATGTATTTCTTTTGCATAATCAAAATTTTCACTCTAAATTTTACATAACCAAATTGTCACTCTAAATCGCTGGTTTTTAGACAGATGTTACTTGTCTTGTCATTATTCAATTCATTATTCGAATTCTCAGAATATTAATATTGTTAACAAAACTTAAAATTAAATTTTAATCAATCACAATTGTTTATCTCCATCATTTACCGGATTAATAATACAGAAATTACAGCTCAGTTACAAACAATTCATTATTTATATTGATATACAGTAATTGTATTAAAATATATGAATATTCTCGTTGATTATTGGTTTGAAATAAATATGACAGTGTCCTCCAATAAAAATGCGAGTTACTAACTCTAAATTCTAATTCCGAACTGGCAAATAAGCTAGACGCTTTACCTAGACCGTTATGTTGAAGGTACAAACATATCGATGAAAATATGCATGAAATCAAGGTTGGTACAGTATTAAGGTTATTATAGTGATTTCCTTAGCCGTGTAAAGATAATTCGGGAACATGCTGTAGTCTGTATTTAAAGTATATTTATAATATGTAGGTACCTACAAATCATTATTGCTACCCGTCCCGATTTTGATCCAACAGTTCCGCGTCCCCACGCAAAGCCCTATAATGTCCCGATTTTTATTTGTTTCATAGCCACATTTTTATTAAACAATAAAATTGTAAAATATATTATTAAAAGTACATGTTTATTAATTTCTTGAATTTAAAAACAGTTCATTTCCACGAATTAATTAAAATCTTAGAAATTGTAGAATTAAAAGAAGTAGATGTTGATACTCTGTATAATGAATATTCGATAATAAAAACTTGCGTAAAGGAAATTTGCCAGAAAGGATATAAAAATTATAGGTAAAAAAATAAAGTATTTTTAAAACTAGAGTAAATTATATACCTTCATTGTTTAAGGTTGTTATTTATGTATTTTCACGTATCATGTTGAAGTAGACAGACGCTAGAAATAGATATTCAGTTAAGCTCATTAAAACGGAACTTCAAATCTCATTTAATTTTAATGTATATCGAATATAAGAATTTTTAGATTTTATTAAAAATAACAAGGCTCTTATTATTGCAGCAACAAAAAAAAATAAAAAATATTCATTACAGTTGGAGGTGGGAACCCGTGGTATTACAACAAGAAAATAAAACACTAATTCACCGCAATACACCAAAATACTTTGCTTTTAAGGCTGGACGCTAGTTTCGCTAACCATAAATTCGAAGCTAACCATCAGTTTTCATCATCTGCTGATGATACTAAGCTGGTTAACGAAACGCGCGTCCAGTTTTAAAAGTAAAGTGTTTAATGGAAATTAGCACACTTGTAGGGGGTTTGGTTTGATGCCTTTTATGCTTGTGTATACTAAGAATATTATATTTTAAAGTGTTTTGATGTTTTGTGGTAAATTAGTAGTGTTTTATTTTGCCAAAAAATTACCATTTAAAAATAATTAAATAAACTAATAAAGCCAATTATACAGATTATGCAGCTGAAACTTTTAACTTTCTTTAGGTTTTGTTCTAGTTGTTTTAGATTTAATTGATTGTTTTCTAATTTTGTTTTCAACTTTTCATTTTTTATTTTTACATAATTATTTATAAATTTCGAATAGTTTTTTTAAAGGCATAAAATATTGTTTCAAAATTCGATGGCCTCATAAAATTTGACATTTAAGAAAAAAGGTTGCGCTAGAGCTGTCCCGATTTTTTAAATACACAAGGTGGCAAGCCTGCTACAAATTTGTACGGAACTCTCGGAGGCAAGTCCGACTCGCACTTGGCCGTTTTTTTTAATTATTCCTCCCTTTTTACATCGAATTAGAAGTCTAAAATAAAGAAATTTAGAACTTACCATTAAAATAAATTTGCTATATGTTCCTATTTACCTTGATTTATAACTATAATATAGAGTAAAAAATATAACTGCTAATTTATTACAATACTCCAATCTCTATCTTAACCAAGGAATACAAAAGAATGACTTTAGAATATTCATATCAGACCAATAAGCTTTATAATTTACAACAATCTTTTCTCTTTTTCTCTTAATAAATTCAAGTTTAATCCAACCTATCTTTTAACAATGATATATTCTCGTATATCACACGCAAAAGTCCAGTCAAATTTTAATATTAAATAAATAAATTTACCTCTAAAGCTCAGCTTCCAACGCGCTTTTCGTCATTAATTGTTGAATAAAAAGAATTTTCAGAGTTGAAAGACCTTGGCTCTTTCTAGCATACAAATTTCCTTTAATCCTTTTCAGCTAATTCAGATTGTAATCAAAACTCTATTTTAATATATGCTGTGGAGTTAACAATAATTTAGTTTGAATTTTCAAGACACTTTCAAGGAAGATTATATGTAAAGTCGACCGAGTCTTTCTCAAAAGTGACTCACCCCTATAACTTTATAATTTTTTCAGATAAAAAATTCTTACTGAAATGTTTGTTCTAAAAATTGCTTCTATTGTCCTTTGTATACATAAAAAATGGCCTCTATTTTTTGTCAAACCAGGGAAAAACGTAATAAAGGTCATTGCCCCTAGGCCTTTAGGATATAAAGATGGTATATCTGAGAAAAATAACACGCATTACTCTACATCATATTTTTCGACACTTCGGTCTCCGTGGGACTAGAGTCCGACGCTTTTTTTTAAAGTGGTGACGTAGAAATTTTTTATGTTAAGGAAATCATACACTGCCTTTATGCTATGCAGTTTTCTTTAACGAACCAAACGTGTAGGTAAAGTGTAAGTTAGAAAACTGTCGTTCTTACTGGTCAACAAAACCGAAAATAATCAAGTTGAACTAGATTTTGTCTAATTCTTGTCTTTATTTCTGCAAGTCAAAAGTTTGAGGCGCAAACTGTTTTAAAAACTATCGTTTTTCTCAGTGGTGGATGTACTCTGCCTCTCTGACGAGAAATTTATTCCGTAAAAAATGTCGAATCTTCATATCGCTGTGTTTTCATAAGACTGTTTATATGTGTGCAAAGGAAGTTCGACGTTTTTGCAAGAATATTCTTTCGTCGAACAAAACCGCCCAGCGAAAACACAGTCTGTGTTACTCTTTAGAATCCGAAGTAAAGTCTCTTTATTAAACCGATAATTTATCAAATAATATTGAGACGAATGGTCTCTACTATTCGATTTATCTACTGCTATAATAGCTAATAGGTCAGATAGGCTGTTTTTGGAGGCTGTAAATTACGTAAAGGTATTAGGTTGTGCTCATATCTATTCTCAGAGGGAGGAACCACATTTTCAACTTAAAAAATAGTAATGCTGAAATTATGGTCTTTATGGGCCTTTATAGAGTTTATTATACCCAGTATGCCCTATGCCTTGAACATAATTTTAGTGAAGCTACAATATAGCTTAAGAACGTACGAAAGTAGTAGAAAATGGTGAATTGTGAAATAAATAAATAATTAATGTCTATACCTATGTGGCGGGTTCATTTCTTGAAAATAATTCTGTTTTTCCATGCCTAGAAATCTAAAAAAATAAAAAAAGATATTTTTTGTAAACACCACTGTGTTGAATCCCATCAGAAACCAGCTGGTCAGTGTTTTTTTTAATGCAGTGCTGTTCAGAAAAATAACTCTATTATTTTGTAGATTTTCTTCCAGTGGCGAAAACCCTAGAATTATTTTCAAAAAATGAAGTAAATAACCTTATTTATTTTAATTTTATTTTTCGATTGATAGTAAACAAAGCAACTTCAATCAAAATAATTACAAAATTCCATCTTTCTTTTCTATCTCAATGAAATATAAAAAAAATATATTATAAATTTTACAGTTCAGAAAATTGTTAAAGTGTATATTTAAAATTTATTATAAAATTAAAATTTCCATTTCATGAAAATTTGTTTTTAAAAGTTTTTTAAAAGATCTTTAGGGATATGTTCCATTGAGGTGATATCTTAAAAATACAAGGTGAATCTTAAATAAGTGCAAATATTTTCAGGACTGGTACATATTTTCTCTTTGTCGTTTTTCAAATAAATCCAAAATAACCGAGTTATTTTACTTTGCAAATTTCCAAAAAAAAATTTTTTTGCTAAAATTTTGAGAACCACTGGATCTTATCTGGATTTTCTTTCTTGTAAATTTAATCTACTACCTCTCTTGCCATATTATCAACAAATTATGTTTTTTAACTAAAAACTAAAAAAATCTCCAAACATTTTTAATAAAAAACTAAAACCTACGACAAAAATAAAAAACTAAAACCTGTGACAAGAAGGCGTACAGACGCCCCACGTTGGGCGCCATATTCTCATCTGGGTGTTTTGACTTTATTCTTCTTGTCAAAGGTTTTAGTTTTTTATTTACTCCATACTTTTTTAATTAAAGTCGTAGTAATGAATTACCAGCCGTATATTTCTAAAATTGACAGCCATCTTCCTTTCCCGGTGTTAGCGGCAACGCGTTTTTGTGCATAACTACGCCCTCTCTGTGAAAACGGTGCAGTTATTCTATTAGGGAGCTTCTATTTTTAGATGAACGATTAGGGCTCTACAACAGTAATTCAAATCAACATAGGTTAAATGAAATGCATTATTTCTCTAAAAAGTCTCATTTCACTGTTACTAATTTTATATTTTATTTTTCCAGACTGAGCACTAAAAATGGAACAATTTGAGCAACTTCTTACCTGCGCCATCTGCCTGGATCGCTACAGAAATCCCAAGCTACTACCATGCCAACATAGTTTTTGTATGGAACCCTGTTTGGAAGGTCTAGTCGACTACGTAAGACGTCAGGTATGTCCCTGCTTTTAATTAATTACATTAATGGTTTAATTAATCTTAATTGTTATATTGTATTCAGAAATGTTTGGAAAATAAGAAACTAATAGTGTAACATTTAAATCACTAATCATCAAAAAGTCTGGAATAAATGGAACCTCTTGTATAATTGTGTTATAAAGAAAACTATGCAGCAATTCCAAAGTACTACTTTGCCATGAGTCATGTAATAACCGTCAGCAGCAATTAAAAAAGAATGACAAATAATTTATTAATCAAATGGGGTAGACAACAAAAAAAGAACAATTCTTTCAGAACCGATTACATTCAAAATTCGATTTTACATCGATATGTAAATTTTCCAAAATACCGGGTGCGTCTCAAAAGTGGCTCATCCCAATAACTTTTTATTTAAATAAACAAGATTTAGTATGTTAATATATGACATAAATTAGGATTGATTGACGTATTCAATTGTTCTTGGCAACTTCCTCTTTCACCGGAAGTGACTACAACTTTTGATTTTTAAATGGCACCCTCGGTATTTTTCTACTTTATTCGATAGAAAATGACATCCTGAATAGAATGACATATTATGTCAACTCTTGCCATTTGCGCTTTAAAAAAATTGTATTTTAAATTTCAATCTAGAGTGCCGTGACTGTGATAAAAACATTAATTTTTAATCAATGAGCCTTGGAAAAATAGATTTGATCGTCTAATGTTTTTCGTGTCTTGTCTTGGCCGGTTAAAAGATGCCCAAATCGTATTCTTAATCATAATATCTTAATTTTTCCAAATGAAACGAGGGTGGCTCAGTAGCATATTTGGAAAAAGCATTTTTTTACGAATAATTTGGTACCACACACTTATTATTATTTATACTTATGGTATTTTGAGACAAATTGTCGTTATGAACCGCATGTTACAATTTCAAATAAACTATATGAGAAAATGTCAAGTTGACGTATGATATGTCATTCTATTCAGAGTGTCATTTTCTATCGAATAAAGTATAAAAAATCGAGGGTGCTATTTAAAAATAAAAAGTTGTGGGTAGTCATTTCGGGAGAAACGAAAGTGATCAAGAAAGTGATCAAAAACAATTGAATACGTCAAACAATCCTAATTTATGTCATATACTAACATTCCAAATCTCGTATTTTTATCTGAAAAAATAAAAAAATTATAGGAGGTTAGTCACTTTTGAGACGCACCCGATATATATCAGAGACTATATAAAAATTATCACATATTAACCAGTATACAGAAACTTGACATTTGACATAAATTAAAAAACATATTATACTCATTTTTTCTTCTGCCTCACATTGGACTGTAAAAATATAAAAAAAATGTTAATTTGCTATACCGATCTTTGCAATAAAACCAACCAATCCAAACCAAAACAAACAAAAACTGAACAAACAGGAGAAAACTTTGAGCTTGATTGGTGTTCGCTCAATATAGTTTATTTCGAACTACTAATAATACTACTCAACTGATACCCCATGTTTTTACAATAAATCAATAAAAAAATACAAAATTGTTGCAAACTTTTTGTGGTAGCTATACAGGGTGTTTCAAAAAACATGTACCATCTCTCGTGGGGAGATTCCTCACGTAAAAATAAAATTAATTTTTCATATCAACATAGGTCCGATTCTACTTTGTTTCGTAGATACAGGGTGTTAAAGAGTTAATATTTTTTGATTTATTATAATTTTCCTCCAAGTACTTTTAGCTTTTTGAATGAAATTTTGAGAGTAAAAGTTACTAAAAATGTTACTGAATATTTTAAAGCTAAAAAAGTGTCTACATATTCACCAGGGACGTGCATATGTGTTATCAATGGAATATTTTTTTCTAAAAAACGCATGTATGCCACTGATTTTTGTTCTCTTGTAAGCGAAATAGTGTCAGCAGTTTAATGCCGTTTAAAAATGTTCTCTTAATATTTTGTCGATTTCGGCCTCCTGGATGAGATAAACGCAATTTTATTAATCACAATTTTTAATTTATATATTTTACCTAATTTATTATTAACTATCATTACTATTAGTTATTAATACTGTTAGTCCAACATACAGGAATTTCAAATAAAAAAAAATATATATAATGGTATTTAAGATAATTACATAAAATGAATTACTCATTTTAAAAAGTTTTAATATCCTCTAACTTTATAGGAGCTTTTTTTCATATTTTTTGATGAGGAATCAATGAGTACTCATTTAAAGCTTTAGCAAGTTAATGACTTTAATTTTTTTAAGGGTTGCTATTAGACTTGGATCAAGGGCAAATAAATGAAATTGCGTTTATCTCATCAAGGAGGCCGAAATCGACAAAATATTAAGAGACAACTTTTAATCGGCATTAAACTGCTTACACTATTTCGTTAACAAGAGAACAAAAACCAGTGGGGTACATGCTTTTTTTAGAAAAATATTCAAGTGATAATCGATATGCACGTCCCTGGTGAATATGTCGACACTTTTTTAGCTTTAAAATATGTCGCATTTTTAGTAACTTTTATGCTCAAAATTTCATTCGAAACAAAACTAAAAGTACTTGGAAGAAAACTGGATCCTTGGAAGAAAAAAAGGACCCTGTATCTACGAAACAAAACAGAACCGGACCTATATTGATATGAAAAATAAATCTTATTTTTAAGTAAGGAATCTCCCCACGAAAGATGGGACATATTTTTTGAAACACTCTGTATATTGAGTTAAAACTGCTTTCTTTTCATGTTACTTCATATATCATACTTAATTAAGTATTTCTCTTCTTTCGCAGGTGAAATGTCCAGAATGTCGCGCAGAACACAGAATCCCCTATCAAGGAGTTCAAGGTTTTCCCACCAACGTCACCCTGCAACGATTTCTCGAACTCCACATAGAAATTACAGGAGAGCTGCCGGATCCTACCAGCGGTCAAGTGATGGAACGGTGCAATGTCTGCTCCGAGAAATCTTACTGTAGTTTTTGTCACCACTGCGACAAGAAAATCTGTGACGAATGTAAGGGAGCCCACATGGAGATACTACGCAGAGAAATCAGTAGGATCAATAATCAAATTCGAAGGGGACTTCATAGGTTACAAGACAGTCTCAACCTAGTCGAGAAGAATGTACAGAATATTCAAACAAACTGCCTTTCCGTTGGAGAAGAAGTAGAAGAAATATATAGAAGGCTCAACAAGGCTTTGAAAGATCGTACCGAATATTTGCGAAAAGAGATCGATCGCTACCTAGGTACCGAAATGCGGACCTTAACCGGTTTGAAAGATAACTTAGAACAAGAAATCTCGAATATTCTAAGCAATTGTGATCTAGCTGACAAACATATGAACGAAAGTGTAGATATTTGGGATGACTGTGAACTAATGGACGCTAAAGAAATTTTCCTAAAAACGATAGAATTTATTCGAAATTTTGAATATGAGAATACTGATTACACGAGAAAAATTAGATTAGTACTAGGGCACGATCCCAATCAACTTGTTCTACACGTTGCCGGATATGGCGATTTAAACATTGCCAGCAGTAGCAGTCCTTTTTCACAAGGTACAAGTACTGGCCTGCTACAACCTCCTGGTCCTGGATTGATGAGATCAAAAAGTGACCACAGACTAGCTTTCCGAAATCAGGATCAAGGTTACGAAAGAGGTTACGGCGATCAGGACCAAGATAATGTCCTGAGTGGACGCAAATTTGGCGAACGCACACAAAAGCCAGAAAAAACTGACAGATACGGTTCCAGTTATGGCCGTAGTGGTGCTGATTACGGTGATGATTATGATCACGATCGATCAGCCAGATCGAAGTACAGCAGTCGGTTTAGGCGTAGAAATACTATGGCCGACGATGACTCAGATACCGAATCAAGGGGAGTACGATTCCACGAACAACAACACAAAAATGAAAGAGAACGACCACTAGACACAGAAGATGTCACCAAAGGCCCCCTCAGTGGAATCACTAGGTTAGCAGATTCTCCCCGCGTAATGAAAAAATTGCAGGAAAATCCTACAGGAAAAAAGGAAAAAAAGGAACCTGTCACACCACAACCTCCTAAACAACCGCAAGTCGTTACAAAGAGACCTCCACCGCCCGCCACGCGACAAGTGAGCGAGGAAGATGAAATATCGAAAATTAAAAAGCAAAACAAGGGGGCCACAACGTCCACAGAAACAGCCCCAGAGACAAGGCCTGCAGAGCGAACAACCACCGAGGAGAGGCTCCCAACTCAGAGGAAACTTAACGCCCCCGAGGTGAGTCTCGATGAGCCGTAACCTCTTGTATGTACCTGATTATATAAGTTTAGAATAATTTAGAATGTAAGGTCCGTTTAGAACGTTTTGTAGAGTAATTTTAAACCGCTTGCCGTCCATAGTGATACTACACACAAAATTAACCGGCAAATAGTCACACATTGGCATGTTACTTCTCTTCCGTTCTACGCTTAAAACCACACTTTAAAGTGTATATGCTTTCTGTTGTTTTTGGTGTGAAGCATGAAGATGTATGCAAGATTCTTCTCCTAACAAAATATTTTCTATAGGCACCGTCCAGTACTGAAGAGTCAGATGGTACCGCGACCGCGTTTCAACAACAACAACAAAGAAAACAAGCGCAAACAAAACCTGCCCCACCAGCAACGCGCAGGTCTTCTGATGCATCGCACAAGAAAACCGCTCGTTCAGCTAGTAGTGACTCGAGCTCTTCAGCTGAATCGTCCTCTTCGGGAGCAGTACGAAGCACCGGTGCACCTTTTACTACCGAAGAAGTAAAACAGAAATATCTGGCTAGAAGTGAAGTGCCAGCCGAAACCCGTAGTAGAACTTCATCCGCAAGTGCCAAAGAACAACCAAAACCTTTTCAAAGTAGATTTTTGAACAAGACTTCGACACCGCAGCCTACACCAAAAGACGAAGACGAAGAAAGCGAAACATCCACCGAAGAAGAAACAGAAACGGAAGAGGAGTCAGACGAACCTTCCAGTAAGAAAACCGAAGAGAAAATGATCAAGTCCGACATCGGGGCTTTGCTCGCTCGCAGCGCTAATGCTAGGGATCACGGCCGAAAAGACGGATCTCCTTTAAATAGATCAAAGTACTCGACTCCGGAGGAAAGCGCAAACAGGTATGGAGGTAGAAGGCGAACGACCACAACCGATGAGGAACCTCCCCGCTACGGTTACACCAGCAGATTTTTAAATAAAAGTAAAAGTTCCGCAGCAATTCCGCCGGACGATGAAGATTACACACCAAAATATAGCACCCCGGCTGCTAATGATGAAGACAGCAAATATCCAAGCAATAGATCTCGGTACATGGCCTTAAAGGAACGCAGACAAAGATTGGCACGCAGCCGCAGCAGTCAGCAATTTGGAGATGAGGATGACGCAGAAGATAACGTTGCTACTCCGATCTCCCCGACCACATCTAACCCTACGGCGTACTTAGCGTCGCGAGGTTATGGCACTTCGGCATCAGCGCATGATCTCTCAAGGAGCCGATCCTCGCACGCCCTTAAATCTAGGGACAGCTCGCCGGAACGACAGTCCGCTTCGGCTTCGAATGAAAAGGACGGAGCAGCCCTTAGCTCCTGGGCCCGCTACTTGAAGAACAAGTACGGCAACAGAAGCGGCGGCAAAGATAAAGAGTCGGCTTCGGGAGGAGGCTCCCAAACGTCCGGAAGTGCATCGTCGTCGGCTGCGGCGCGCAGGCTCTCCTTGGGCCTGCCGCTGCGCTCTTCCACCGACCTGGCCAGCTCAGACGACGACCAAAAAAACATGCAAGGCTCCCCCACTACCCATATAGCAACTACGGCGGCAGCCGGTAAGTGACCCTTTTGCCTTTAAACGTGATCGTAGCGGGCGAGGTTCAGAACTACGTTCTTGCCCCTTCCTCCATACTATTTCATCTGCGAATCCATAACCATTTCTGACTTTCCGAATAACACGCGCTAAAACACTGGGTGAGTAAGCGACTCCCGTCTATTTGATGGAGATGGTTTCGGTAAATATGCTGCTTTACGCTCGCTATGAAACTTCATTAATACTAAAGACCTGGTTTTACCTTTATTATACAATCTTTGTACTACATCGACCTAAACATTCCATTTTAGGTAACTAACATTTCAAATTTAAATCAATTATTTTTTATTATTTTTAATAACAATATTAACAATTTTTTTTCGTAACAAAAATCATTCATCTTTACACTACTCATTTTTTTCAAACACTCTTTCACTTAACACACACACCACACCACCATTATTTTTTGCTGAACTAATAATTACTAAAACTAACTAAAAAACACAGAGAACACCAAGTTTAGGTATAAAGATCGTATGTACGACTAGGGCCTTAGAAATCATCTATACCCAAGGTTTTAGTGCACGCATGACACTTTTTTTATGCTAAATATGTGATATAACTATTAAAATTAACACAAAGCAATTTTCAAAAAATATATGATTTGTATTTTACTTCATAATTAAATACCATTCCTGTAAATGGTGTATTTACTAATTATCCAAGACCAATTTTGATTTAGAATAATAAAAATTGTCGAATATATTAATATATATAAAATAATAAATAATAGTTCTTAATTATTGGATAAATATTAACTAATGGTTCTCCTTTGCTATTCATCAACCTTTCATATAAAAATATGTTTCACGTGTTATATAAAGTTACAACAAAAAATAGCTTCTTTAATGAACGAATAACTTTAATAAAATAAAAGAGCTGATAGATTTATCACTATGACCATATAACAATATACATCTCAACATAATTTTTTGAAACATGAAATAATAAAAATCACTCATTCCATCATTAATATTTTCCTAACTAAAAAATGCGTTGTTTTTACCAAAAATTACAACCTGAAAGGGGCAACATAAATACTAATAAAAATTATTTTAGAATACAGCTTATCAACTATGGAATGATAAATATCTAGTGATATTACCACTAGTTTAAATTACAGAGTGCGAACGCATTCCACAAAGCTATGTCAAATATACTCAAAAATCACATAAACATGTTGATCGAAAAAAAGGGGCGCCAAAGACCGCTGGGGAATGACAATCGATGATAATTTTGGCGAGGTCAACCTCTAGACGTCATTTACTAAAAATTTACGTAAAATTAACACAAATTATAAAAAGATTAAAAAAGAATAGGACAATTTCGGACACACAAATCTATTTCCAAAAAATTATTTTTTTCTCAAATTTTAATCTACAACATTTAAAATTAATTTTACTCAATATATTAAATCACAATATTTTTAAGGCTAATAAGGAGTATGGACCCAGCAAATCATGTTTAGGGCTTCAACTCTTTGCCGCCATTTTTTTTTCGATCATAGAGTACATGGTTATGTGATTATTTTTTTCCATAGTCGATGTAACAAGTGGAACCCGATATTTAAATTGTTAGGTAAAAAATACACTCTGACACTGTATTTGCCATTATGATTTTATATCTAACGTTGCATTTTTAGATTAAATAACAAAATTGCTTAACAAGGTTAAACTGGTTAAAAATGTTGGTCAAAAATATGAGACCCATTTTTGTTGCTATTTCGAGATTTTTTAAATTTAAAAAAATTAAAATTTATTTTTTTTCCTTTTCGAGACCTTTTCTACAAGACAGCCAACAAAAGTTTTTTAAAAAATATTTAAATACAAACAATAAAAACGAAAAATATTCGCATGTCATCCTATATTTGACAAGCTGTACGTAATATACCGTATGATCGAAAAAAAAACGGCGTCCAGTTGACTTGGAAATGAACATCGTTGACTTTCCATATAATTTTACATATAAAATGACAGCGATCTTCATTTCATAGCCAACGCTGACGCCGTTTTTATTCGATCATACGGTATTACATTTTTGTTTTTCTTATGCTATATTCACATGAACAACTTTACGACTTTTGTACGAAAATTGTTGCAGACAATAGTAAGCTCCATTCACACGTGCGTTTTCATATGTTACAAAAAACTGACCACGGTTAAATTATTGTTACGTGCTGATTGCAAGCAATTGATTATCAAAATGGATAATTGATTTTGTATCTTTTTTATTGTTTTTTTTTTTGAGAAGGAGGGGAAAAATCTTGCATAAGACACCGTTGGGTAGTGTCGGATTCCTACCGACTAAAAAAACCCTCCTCGCATTCCATGGCACTATCCAGCTGGAAACCGCTTGCGCATTACTTCAGCTGGAAGGATGTCTATGCGGTTAGGCCCCGCATTCTATTTCCTTTAGTTTCTATTATTTCTCGAATGCATCTATATGTAATTTCCATGATGTTTCACCGCTTAGCAGCCCTTGCATCATATTTTTAGCATTAAAGACTTGTCCATCACTGTCCCGTTGGAATGACTCTCTAAACTGCCTCCATTCATTACACAGGAATAGTGTGTGTTCGACACTGTCAACTTCCTTGCAATACATACACAAATTTGAGGTGGATCTCTCCCTTTTATGCAAATAGTTGTTAAAGCATCCGTGCCCTGTCAATGCCTGTGTTAGGAAATAGTCCGTCTCTCCAAAGCTTCTATCTAACCAGGTGTTAATGTCTGGTATGAGATCATGTGTCCATCTACCATATCTATCTAGATCCCATTCCTTTTGCCATTCAATCATCAGTATGCTTCTTGCCTCCAGTTTTGATGTCCTTTTGTATCTCTCTCTTCTCTCCTCTATAAGTAGGTGAATAGGCGGCACCCCGGATATGACATTTAATGCTTCAGCGGAGACGGTTCTATATGCACTGCAGATCTTGAGGTTCAGTTTACGGTGTATAGCTTTAAGTGTTTGCCTTATATCCCTTTGATATTGCGAAGTGCCACACTGGGGCGGCATATAACAGTTGAGAGTGTGCTACACAGGCTAGGATTCTACGTTTGGAAGCAAGTGGCCCTCCTATATTAGGCATCAGTCTACCCAGTGCGGTCAAAGTTCGTTCCGCCTTTCGTATAACTTGATTTATATGCACGCCGAATGTAAGCTTTGAATCAAGCCAAACTCCAAGATATCTTATTGCATTTTTTGGTGAAATTGTTGTACCGAGAAGCTCAAATGATATATGAGAGAGTTTCCTCTTGGTGGTTAATAAAACCGCTTCAGTTTTGCTCGGTGCTAGTTTTAAATCTTTGCGCTCGATCCAGTTGGCCACTCTTTGTAGTCCTGCATTAGCAACACTCATCACACTAGCACACTCAGTCTTTTCGTTTTTGGCCGTTACCACCATCGCTACGTCATCGGCAAAGCCGATTAGTGTTACTCCTTCGGGCATAACTGTTTCCAGTAGGTCGTTGTATTGGATATTCCATAGTGTTGGGTCTGAAGTAAGGTCTGTAAGTACTGACCGCTGTAGCACTCCACTGGTTACATTAATCTGTCTTTTAGCAGTATCGCCTTCAATTAAAATTGTCCTTTCAGAGAGATAAGATGCCACCATATTAGTCAGAGACGAACTTATACCCCATTTCTGCATTTCGTTCAGAATGATCTGCTACGAAGCACTGTTGAACGCATTTTGCACATCTAGAGAAATTACTGCGCATAATTTTCTATTATTTGGTGCATAATATGCTGCTTGTCTGGCAATAAGAAGTACATGTTCGATCGCATGTATTGTTTGTCTACCTTTTCGAAAACCATATTGGCGCGCTGAAAGAGTTCCTATTCGATCGAGTTCTTCATATAGTTTTCCTTCTATATCTAAAAGACATATCGGTCGGTATGCCGCTGATCCATCTTCTGAGAGTTTTGTATCTTATTTTGTATCTAACTTTTTATATGAAGATGTTGATAATAAATAATGTGTTTTTCTTCAAATCAAAAGCTACAAGAGTGCTTCTTCAAAATTTAAAATTAACCAAAAATTTAGTCACGTTTTGATGAACCAAAAATGTTGGTTATGATCCACCTACTCACACGTGCGAATTGTCGCCGAGATTTTCGTCAATTTTTTTCTTTTTCAATACTAGTTAGGACGTGCCGAAAAATCAAGGTACCAAGACAACACTAGTCTTGGTCTCGAATTTTCTTTGAGATCTGCAAGTCCAAGATGAATGCCGACTAGTGCAGGACTTACGCAAGATCAAGACCTAGCATGAAAAACTCTTGCGGTGTTGCATTTTTATTTTTCACGTTTTTATTTAAAACTCGTTTTTCATACATAACAATTAAACAAAACTAAGGAATTATTAATTTAACCCTCCCCCTATCATTTGTAAACAAAAATAATAAAAAAGGGCTAAGTGTTTGAAACTATTGCAGACAAATATGTGATTTATTGTAGCGGTTAACAATAAGCCATATTGGTATAAGGCTTTTTTTGTGAAAACAATGCTGCTAAAGTTAAAACATTTCATTATTGTAACATACGCTGTCAGATTATAAGAATACTTCTTAATTTAGAGATTTTTTAGAGAAGTATGCAGATTTCAATAAATAGTTCTAGTGTTAACGCCGCAATTAACTATAAATACATAGGATAGGAACTTCAACAAGTGAGTCCTTAACTAGATTTTTCTTCAGTTTTTTTAACTAAAAATAAAAACAGCATTTGTCGGTAAAATCCTAGTACACTAGTAGATTGAGTAATAACAATTTTCATCAGGAAAATATTATTTCTTTGTTTAAAGTTTCATTTACTTATTTTTAGAAAGTGAATCTAGTAAAAATATATACAGGGTCGCTGATATGTATGGAAACGGTCGATTATTGGGTAAAATATACGAGGTATCGCAAGAAGTTACAGAGTTTTAAAACGTCTTTTGGCGAGTAATCAATTTAATTATACAGGATCCGTTATAAAGTCATGGCACATCAAAATTTCATTTCTTTAAATGGTACCCACTGATGTATATTATTGCTTGCATATTTCAATTCTTCCTTCAATTCTAAGCAAAAATAGAGATTGCATACAATGTACCTCAAACCAACCGTTTACGAGTTATTGACTTTTGAAAATATCACTTCTACAATTCGATTTAATTAATTTCGATATGTTCGGTATCATTTAACGATGCTATTCTGCGGAAACTGTGATACTTAATAATATTTGACATTAGTTTGCGAGTTAGCATTTATAGATGTATAAAATGAGATTATATCAAGTTTATAAATTACAAAATTTTCGTTTAACATTTCAAAACCAAAACTCGACATCTCAGAAACGGTTGGATTTAAGTACATTATATGTATTACAATTTTTGCTTAAAATTGAGAGACGAATTGAAACCCCAATAATATATAGGGAGTTCCATTTAAAAAAATGAATCTTAGAGTTGCCACGACTTTATAACCCACCCTGTATACTTAAATTTATTACAAGATGTTAGGCATTTAAGAAACCTATAACTGTGTATATAACTTTTTGCGGGACCTCGTAAACTTTGCTCAATAATCGACCGTTTCCATACATATCAACAACACTGTATATAGAAAAAGTACAAAACTTACAGAAGTCTTCCAGCAAAACCAAGACCATGACTAGAACATGCAGGATCAGACCAAAACTGCTCATTAGACTGCAGAGGCGCATATACGAGAGGGGTAATGGGGGTAATTACCCCCCCCCCCCAGGAAGAAATTTATAAATAAGAAAATCTGTTATAAATTAAAATTATCACAAAATAAATTAATAATATCAAACAAAATAAAAATCCAGAACAATCTAAGTTTATTTCTTTCCATAGTCTCACAATGCCTTTGAGCGAAAATTTAATTTAAATTTATTAATTTATTTAAACTGCCAGTACCCCTCCCAGACCCACTCTCTGGATGCGCCACTGTTAGACTGCAAAACTAAGACCACGGGTGTCTTGGTCTTGCAAATGCTCATCATTAACAACAGCCTAACCACCGTGTAGTCGCTCTAAAGTGGAACGTGTGAATATAGCCTGAAATTAATAAGAAATTATGACGCCCGCAAACTATAACATAATAATTAATAAAGACTATATTGAATTTGTTTAGGTATCGCGGCAGCAGCGGCAGGTACGTCCCCTAGGAGTCAGTACCTGCAGAAATGCCAACAGCTATTCCAAATTGGTAGTAGGGGGAGCGAAGCCGGATGCTTCACATGGCCACGAGGCGTCGCCGTCGGGCCAGATAACTCCATCGTTGTAGCCGATTCGTCCAATCACCGCGTCCAAGTAAGACTTTTAAAAAAAAATATGTGTGTAACTATGTGCGCATATTTGAATATGAAGTGAAACTTCTTACTAACAACTATTAAATTGAAGGGTTTGAAGGACATGTTTGAAAAAGTGTAGTTTGAAATGCTGAAAAAGTAATAAATTAAAAAACTATTTTTTTAAGTGTGACGAATAGTTTTATACGCGTAAAATAAAAAATTAATAAAAATAGTTTTTTTACGTGTAACAAATAGTTTTTTACGTGTAAAAAATAGTTTTTAGGCGTAAACATAGTTTTTAAAGTGTAAGAAATAGTTTTATACCCCTAAAAATAGTTTTTTGCGTGTAATATATAGTTTTATAGGCATCAAAAATTGTTTTTTACATGCGACAAATATTTTTCTACGCGTAAAATAAAAAAATAATAATAAAAATAATTTTTTCGTGTAACAAATAGTTTTTTACGTCTAACAAATAGTCCTTTCCACGTAATAATTTGATTAACTTTTACAAAAGAATGTGAAATAAAATATGAACATTTTTGATAAACACGTCGCGTCACTACGTATTTCTAAAGCCGTTACACTAGCTCGTGTATCATATGGCCTTGAATTTTTACTCGCACGTAAAGAAGTTTCACTTCAAAAATGTTTTACTCAAAACCTATTTAGTGACGACACAATTTTATATACAACATAATACAGGGTGAGTCTTAAATAAGTGCAAATATTTTCAGGGGTGGTATACTTCGATCACAGGAACACGTCTATGGGTTTTTCTGCAAAAAAAGATGTTGAAAATCGTACATTTTCTTTTAAATTTTCCTGTATATTTTTAGAAAATTTTTTAGAACTGCCTGTTCACATATTAATCTCTGATATCACCATGGTTATTGCCACTTCCTAAATGATCTATATTTCTAATTATTCATCTGCGAAAATGCAATTAACAAGTAAAAATTGCTGAAAAGAGGTGAAAAATTCAGAAAAGGTGTGAACAAAATGCGCTGTACTATAAAGTGCAGAAATACTAGTTGCGCCATTATGATTAACATCTAATAACAAACACATAAAATGTCTGTTTTTAGTGTAATAAATTGTTTTTGATCAATTTTAAGTGTCTTTCACAGGCTTGTGTCAGCACAAGCCAATCTCTATCCAATGTTTACATATCTGAGATTTTGCGTCTATTAAAATCATGTGGTTGAAATTCAAAATTTCCTACCTACACATCTCCTTGTGATATTGTGTGTACTCCACACGCAATGTATTGCAATTTTTCAAATAAAAAAGTAATGAGCTTAATGAAATTAAAAACGATTTTTACTTTAGTTCAAAATTAAAATAGATTTGATATTGTTTGTTGAGATCGATAGTTATGATCAAAGACATGTTATGATTATTGCGTACAGTATCATAAAAACTACATTTCAACAGCATGTAACAATATAAAAAATATAAGTATAAACAAACTGCATCAAGCCACGTTATTTCATTTACACATTTTCAAACCATAAAGATTTATCGACAAGTATTTTTTAATTTAATAAATTCGTCCCGACCCTACCACCTACAGCGCCCATGCCGTAAAGCTAATAAAACCCGTATATACACCTGAAACCAGAGAATGTTTTGAAATTGTCGTGTTTACTAATTTCAAAGTGTTTTTAACTTGATACAATTCATTTTTATTTACAGTTTAAAGAAAAAAATCGCTTTAACGAAGATTGCCTTCCCAAGTAGATATATGTATCAGTCAGGAGTCGAGTCTTTAAAACAATGAACCAACAAATGCAAACTTTTACCCCATATACCGATATAAAAAGGTACAATAATTTTGAAGAAGGCGATATTACAAAGATAGATTTTGTTAGTAAATGCGTACGTTTCGTGAGTGTTTAAGGAAGTGGGAAGATATTGGTTTTCTATGTTCTGTGTTGTGTACAGCTAAAGCAGGATTTGCACGTTAAGTATATAATAAATAATAACTTAATAGCATAATATCCTATTTAGATATCAGAGGTAAGCTTTTTCTATTTATTGTGTGGGATAACGGTGCTACTTGCGAACCTTGCTACCACCTTTAAACAAGTAACCCGCCTTTTCAAAACCAAACTCGATTATTTTGGACTTAATTGAAAAACGGTAAAGAGAAAATATGTTTCTTTTATCGAGATCTACCAGCCCTAAAAATATTTGCACTTATTTAAGACTCGCCCTGTATAGAGTGTCTCTTACATAACCGCAAGTATTTTAACTGGCAGTATATTTCCACCCGAGAAACACGCATATAAGTTTTTTTACCAAAAAAATCGGTGGTAATTTTCAATGACATCTTCCGGACCTGACAAGCCTTGCAATATTGCAACTTCCTACTTTACCCACATTCTGCATATTTGTGTGTTTATAAGGTAACAGTAGTTGTAATTTTCTGCAGAATAAATTATAAATATTGCAACTTTACTTATTTTTTGACACACACTAACACATTTTTGCAATTATTTTCAGCTAAACTGAAAGCATTAATTTTAACAGTTATTGCAGATTGCTAGATCACGAAGGATTTTAAATTTTTCAATCAAGTTAAGTGTATTCTTTCTAAGCTGACTGTCACTTCAGGGTGATTCTAAAAGTGTATTCATTATTTTTTTGAATTTCCAAAGTTATATAACTTGGTTATTTTCAATTTTTTTTAATAATGGTAAATATAAATGATGTTTCTTTTGTCCAGATTTACCATCTGGAAGATACTTGGATTTTTTTGAAACGCTCTATGGTAAATGTATTCGATAGGCAGTTCAAAACTAATTTTGACGCTTTTTTTTCATCACATATTTATTAATTGCCCTCTAATGAGAGAATAAAGCAATATTGTTTTTTTTTGACACAGTGTATATGTAGCTAATTTTTGTTTCTTATTTACCACAATATAATTGGGTACCTTAAATAAACAAAATATCATGGTAACTTAATTATACATAACGCGTCATATCATGATACACATTTGCTTAAAAGTGGTAGATTACCGGCCAAGTATAATATAAGAAATCTTGTTTCACTGTAAGAACTGCAGAAGAGACGCTAACTATAATTATGTTTGTTATAAATTGTCAATAAAACGCAGAGTTTGTGATCTATTACTTTTTTCAGTCGTTTCTTAATTATCTTCTAATAGGGAAGCCTAGCCTCAACCTCGTGCCGTTCAAGCTTAATACAAGGTGGGTCAAATTCGACGCTTTTAAAGGGAAACACCCTTTTCTATAGGAGATAGACGGAAACTAATATTGGTGTGTGGAGCTCAATTTTTATCAAAAGCATGATTACGGGTGAAAGCATGATCATAAAATTGAAAACCGCACATCGATATCTGTTACTCGTTTCGGAGTTAGGGAGTGTTTTTCAAAAATGTGCATTTTTAACAAATTGCTGTAACTTCTTTACAATGAAAAATTTTGTATTTTTATGAAAATATTTCCAAATCACCTTTTTACGTGGAATTTAATGGTTTAAGCATAATTTTTTTAAAATTAACAATTTAAGAGTTGTCAACAGAAAAATTGATTTTTTATTTGGGACACCCTGTACATTTTTAATTAAATGAAAAGAACTTAAAATTACCTTTCCAAAAATATAGTCCCCTTCGAAATACAGAATTTTTAAAACTTCACCACTTTTAACTAGTTAAAACAGTTTTAGTTAGCTTTGGACACCTTATTAGGGAAACCGGCCCTAATAGAACTCGAAAACATATTTTTCCAGCAAGACGAGGCACCGCTTCAGAACGCTGAAGTTATCAGCAAATTTTTGCAACCAATTTCGAGAATAATTGAGCTAACCGAGATCTCAGCCGTTGGCCATCAAGACCGCCGGACTTAGTGCCTATGGATTTATATCTTTGCGGAAGAATAAATGTTATTATTTTTAAATTGCCCATATAATCTAGACAAGAATTAGAAGGACTTAGCGTTATGCGAGAGTATCTTTCACTCCCACTGAGTTAATAAATTCAGCGCGAAATGTTCAAAAACGGTCCCGTCTGTCCATGACAGAAGACGGTCGACATGTCGAAAACCTGTACAAATTCTCGTATCTTGGTTTGTTATTATTTTTTATTGTCATTGATATAGTTTAAATGTGTTGATGTGGTTAAGTATAGTTTAAATTGTTATAAAATTCTGCATCTCTCATTGCAAATCGCGGATGATCTGGCAAATGTTCCTATCTACTGAAACAATAAATTTCCAGGAGACAATAAAAACGGTATTTTCAAAAACGGAACGACTTAGAAGGCTGGGCTATTGAAAAAACATTATAATGTATGTTTTCTATTAAATACTATTTATTTGGAAGCAATTAAACTGTAAACTTATTAAATCAGATAGGATTTTTTGCTTTTGATAAAATGGCACATAGGATTATTTGTATTTTAGGATTATAAAGGATAGGACGTTTTGCTTGTGGTAAAAGTAAGATAGGAAAATTTGCTTTCATAGTTTTATAGTATACAGGGTGAGTTTCCTACGATGTTCTCTATGGGTATCTCAGAAACTACTGGAGATAGAGAATCGGTTAAATGGGGAAAGAATTGCAGTTTTGTGGGGTCATAAATATGCGCCTTTCAGATTTTTGAAAAAGTTCATGGCTTACTAGATATTTCGAAAAAAACAAATTTCGGCTATTTTAAAAATTGTCCCTAATTCCATTATAAGCTATTTTAGACAAAAAGTTTTCAGATAAAAGTTGTAGATAATTACACCCCTTTAATGAGTTTCTGTTCTCCGATTTTTTCTAAAACCTGTCATTTTTGACATATGACACAAACATATGTTTTTTTAAATGGAAACCATAGTTGGCCGTAACTTCAAAAAAGGCGCCATTTTTCAAGCTTTTCAGCGATATAAGCTGTAATATGTTTTCTTCCAAAAATTACTGAGTTACAGCCAATTCTTATAATTTTTAAACAATTTTGCTATAGTAAATATATATTAAATCACCTTAATTTTAGTTCAAAATATAACT